ACTTGTTACTATGTTTTTCTTCTTTTTGTTTTTTATCTTCTGAAACATATTTGGACACCGCTGTTTTAATGAATACTCCACCAGAGATCTCACAGAGCGGAATTTGATTTGACAACACAACAAATTAACTACAATACGATAGGACTTTTATTTAAAATATTTAAAATATTGAAGAGAACACTTACCGCTCTAATGAAACTAAAGCCTCACTGAATAACTCAACCACACAGACGTTATTAAAGTGCCAAAGTAACCGATCAAGATGGCCACCATTTAAGTCCTAATATTTTATTCCTGATATTAATAACCGCGTACATTAATATAATGTAGTGTGTTCGTTGTATTAATAACATTGTTCATTGTCACAATGATTTAGTACATTAATATAATGAATATGTGTTTATAAGTGTTGTAAGTGAATAAAGTTTCAGCACTAAAATAAAGAACGCGTTTATTGGGACAATGAACGCGTTCATTATAATAATGAAAATCTTACATTAATTTAATAACCAGATTTTCATTATATTGATAAAATTAGATTCATAGTATTAATAAATCGGACATCGATCTATGATTAACAAATCATTATATTAATAAAAAAATAATTGTCCTAATGAAACAACAGTTAATAATCAATGTTCATTAATATTATGAACAATATTTTTTTCAGTGAAAACTCATTTTTAATGAATTTTATAATTTTGAACTAATTTTTGAAAAACGGTAAAGAGAAAATCTTTTATCGAGATCTACCAGCCCTCAAAATATTTGTATTTGAAACTAAAAGAATTTCGGACTTCCATTGTCTTTATTTATTTCTGCTTACACAACGTTTCGATCACAAGTATCACTGGCCGTTATCATAGTGTGAACTGGCTTGCTGAACTATTACTACATGATATCCTTGTTTATATTCATATACAAGGATGATATCGTCGGTGAAACGTGATAAACTGCTAACTCCATTATTCCTAATTTTACAGGAGAGCAAAAAAACGGTACTAAAAATATGTACACATGTGGGAAGTATTTGATGTTAATATGATAAAGAGATAAGAATTTTATTTGCTGGGAACAATAAACTCAATATTTCGTGTTACGTCATTTTTTTCAGACAATAGGAGATATAGATATTCGTCTTGCAGAAATAAGAAATAAAAATATACTTCTGGAGATAGCAACCTTTATTGTTTGAAATTTTTAAAATGGAATTGAATATTACCCAAACAGATTTAGAAATAATCAATAAAATTTAAAAAATATGATATTCATAACCATATATTTATAATATCGTCGGTCTAGAAGCAAAACATACAAGTCCAAAAACAAATAAATTTTTAATGCATTTTTAAAGAACTGAAGTAGCAGCATTATGGACTTAATGAATATGAAAATAATTAAAAAATTAAACTTATAATTCTTATGTATATGGTAGAGAATCCTTCCATACTTAATCTAATTTTTATACAACGGTAGTAGACCGAGCTTGGAAAAGAGTGCGCGATTTTGTTAAATTTTTATTATTTTTCTCCTTACTTTTTTAATTTTTATAAAAATTATGTATCATTTAAGTGAAAAAACGTTGAAAAAAATAAAACTGATTAGGTATTATGGAAATTCTTGTACAAGTAAGTAATGGTTATTTAAACTATTTATAGCACGCCAATGAATTGCTCGTATATAGAGAATTTCGTTTTTCCCCTTACCCTTTACGGATATCCCGTATTTACAGAACGGATCGACGCAGGGTCGAACTGGCCATATTATATAGATAACTATTAGGGGGGGGGCCCTTTATAGTTCATTAATAATTAATGAGAATTAAGAATAATTATTATTCTTAACAATATTTGCTTTTGCATTGCATTATGGGAATTTGCATTGCATTGGTTTAACTTGCATTAGGGTAGTTCCCTGATTTCTATACAGGGTGAGAGTCTTAAATAAGTGCAAATATGTGCAGGGCTGGTAAATATCGATAAAAGAAACATAATATTTTTTCTTTACCGTTTTTTCAAATAAATCCAAAACAACCGAGTTATTTCACTTTTAAAATTTCCAATTTTTTGCTATAATTTTGAGAATCATTGGATTTTCTTTCTTGTAAATTTAATCTACTACATATGTTACCATATTACAAACAAAGTATGTTTTTAAACTAAAAATTAAAAAAAAAATCCCAATTTTTTTTTTAATTTTCCAAAGAAAAAAATCGCCCAAAAAAACTCATAATCGTGTTTCTTGGGTCGAAATATACTACCCTAAAAATATTTGCACTTATTTAAGACTCACCCTGCATAAAATAGGGAAAAATTGACCAAAACGTAAGGCGAAAAAATACGCCAAAAAAAACACACTAGCCCCTCCTTGCATTGCCGCCCAGGCCCCTTTGGCCTAGTGCTACCCTGGATCGACGTACTGTACTAAAAAAACATACGACTACGACTCAGCTTGTTTTAGCGTGATCGTAACGAAAATTACGGAGATAGCAGCATTTCGGAGGCTATTTCAGATCACTAGGAGTTAGCAGATATTATTGAGTTAAAATAAAAAATTTTCTTTAATGGGAAAAAATATGTTTGCTTTCCCTACTTATAGAGTATTTTTTTCTCTTTCTAATGGTATAAAAAAACTTATTAACTTAAAAAATGGAGTTAGCAGGTTATCACGTTTCACTGACGATATTTAGATTAAAATAAGCATTTCCTGCTTTAATTTTACTGATTTAGGCCTATTATTATATAAAATTTCTTTCGTATTAAATTAATCTACACATTTTTTTAAATGTAATTGCCTGGTATTATTAAAATTATTCGTAATAACAACTTTGAGAGGAAAGTTGGCGTGTCCCGTCCTGCAAAAGGGACAGGAATCCATTAAGAGCAGGAAATCCGACGAATCAACAGAAGTCGCAACGGTTTTATTTAACTTTTATTGCGATTAATTCGTTGGGCCTCTCGTTAATAAGTTTTAAGTAATAATTTTAACAGAAGAATCAAGATAAAAACTTATAAAGCATTAAAGTAATGGTTTTAAAGATAAAGAGTAAATTTTAAAAGGAGGATTAAGCCTCATACTCACTATTCTCTGATGCGGTTCGTCGAGATGATGCGTTAGTTCGTTATTTGAAAATTCCAGACCAAGTAGACAAAATAATGACAAGACAGAAACATTCATGTTTTACGACAAAATTGCGACAAATTCAATACATTTCTGCGACATTTTTGTCTTATTTTTGTTTTATTCCAAAATTCGGAGACTTTTCAATGTTCCGTCTCGAGTCGGTAGAGATGTGTCTATATTTTGTTCGTATATTTTACGACAAGCTGTCGGCGCAGCGTGAATGGCGTGTGCTGCCAACTGTAGGAGACCAGTGAAATCACACATGGTTAAGAAACTTTTTTTACTTTTATCCTTGCGGTGTGGACAGTTTGTCTCAAGTTTGTCTTGCAAGAATTCCCCATTTTTTGTCGCAAGTTTGCCTTGTTTTTGTCTCACAGTCTTGTTTACTTTTTATCGCCTTGGTCTGGACCCTGCATTATACAGGGTGTCATTGAAATGGTGTAAAAAAAATCGGGGGGTGATAAGTACTCCTAAAAATAGTAAAGAAAGTTCCTATAAGTATAGGGCGGAAAGGGTAGATTTTGCAATGGTAGGGGGTTGTTTCGCGAATAACTTTTTTGAGGTTATTTTTTTTACAACGTAGGTTAATTTTTTGAAAACTACATACTTTTTTCTACAAAAAAGGTACTCTTGTTGCATATCGCCCAGAGTGATGGTTTTCGAGAAAATTGAAGGCAAAGAGTTTGCTCTGATGGGTTGCTAACTGGTTAATCAACATAAACTTATGAAAGTTATGGCGGTTCAAAAGTAACCAATTATAGTCTGTCCAACGAGAAGATCCTTGACAGTGATAGATGTGTCTGTCATTTTAATTTCAAAGTAGTTTATTTTATTTTACAAAGAAATAAGTTGGTACAACTGGAACGCATAGCAGGAAATTATTATATTTAAAATTTGACTGACAAGTGAT